CCCCAAAACCCCAAAACCCCAAAACCCCACGAATGCAAGATTTATGAATATTTATAGTCATGAAATTAAAATTATTCTCATTCATTAAATATTTTCCATCTTATTTCATTGGTGGGACATTAGACCAATTTTTATTAGAAGTTCTTTCAGCTTTTTCTGGTCTACCGGTTTAGTCACTATAGAATTAAATTTAAAGAATTTACTGAATTCATTCATTCCTGAATTAAAGCATCTTTATTAGTAAATTTCAGTAGTATGAGCAGTAAGTCCTATTATAAATGAGAGTTTATCCTGCTTCCTCAGTTATTCTCTTTCGATTTTTCTTATCTAATCAGATGCTTCATATCCATTTAGGATAGGCATTGAAATGTCCATAAATATAAGAACATACTACTTCGAGCAATTCTTGCAATAATTTGTACTATCTAGCTTCTTAAGAACTACATCTATAGCTTCTTGTCCATTATAAGCCTGAAAGTATTTAAGAAATAAAAACTTACTATATCTGATTTAATCTTGAATTCTACCTCCAAAATAGTTTAAAGTGTGAAAACATTAAATGTATTGTCATCAACTATCAATATTTTGACACAGTTGCAGTCATTCTTATATTGCTATTATGTTTCAAACTATATCTCTAGATCATTTATTGATATAGTCTTATTCTATTTTAAATTTGCTTCTGGACTCTCAAACTTTAGCTCTTCTTGGAAGCTATCTATCCGTTCAATATTAATTTTACTTGCTATCTTATTTGGGTAGTCGCTTAAATCTTCAAATTATTCGTCTACTTCTCTTTACATCTCATAGATATTAGTATATTTTTCTTTGTTTTCAAAGAACTCTGGAACTCTCAATTTCGTTTTGTGTTTTATTTCTTATGAGCTCAATAGGTCAAATTCTTTTACACAAGACCCTCTCTTTGCCTTTTACTTTGGGGTTATTTTCTCTAAGTCCTTAAAATCCGTTCTATGCAATATAAAGTCATGAGTCTTGAGAGGAAACTGACTATCATCTTCAGATAGAACTATGCTTCTTTCTGAATTATCTTAAATGTTTTTATTAAATTGAGATCTTCTTGCTACTTACTGTTAGCCCTCAAAAGTGCTATAAAATTACTTCTCCAGTTCACTTTGTTCAGCCATTTATTGAATGTCTATATAGAAAAAGAATTTCGTTCCTTCGCCATATTTACTATCAACTTCAAGCTAGCTTCCATGCTAGCAAAGAATTTTGTTGCATATTGTCAAACCTAGACCAATACCATGAGGATTTAGGTCTCCACTATGAGAAATTTTTCCAAACATTTTGAACAATTTGCCTTAGTCTTCATCCTTTATTCCAATTCCAGAATCTTCAACTTCGAATTTTAACTGCACAAGTTTTATAAACTATTCCTCCATCTATGATAAGTACTCATTTGAAGTGAATATTTCAGATTAGTCTTCTTTGCCTTAATTAACTCTCAGATTTTAAGAAGCAACCATTTGATGATTCAAAAATTAAGATCTACTAGAACTATTATGCCTCAAGTTTGATTGAAGTTTACCTGATATTTGTACATTAGCTGGATTTTTATGTCTTTTTACTAGTCTCTTTATTGGATAGTCTTGAATTTTTTTTACTGATACTTTTATATATCCTTTCTAGGTAAATTTCAAAGCATTCGATAATAAGTTGACAATGACCTATGTTATTCTTTATTCATCAAACTTGAAGCTATGTTTTTAAAGTTCTTGGTCAATCAGGATTATTCTTTACAGCTTTTTTTGTTGCATTGGAAATGATATTAATTCTGAGCATTTTTCTATCATGTCTTTTATTTTAACCATGACTTTTTATATCTTGAATTTTCCAGATTTTATTTGAAAGAAGTCTAAAGTATCGTTGACTAAATATCTAAGCAAATCAGTTGAATTCTTTGCAATATTTAGGTATTATTTCAAATCAGGCTCGTTGACTCTAAACTCCAATAATTAATGCATGTTTATAATAGTGTTGAGCGGAGTTCTCATATCATGAGAGGTCGAAGCAACCATTACTTCTGTAAGTTTTTAAATAGACCTAGTGTATTCACCTTTAACTAGCTCAGAAATATCTCTGAGAATCAACATTCTGCATGAACTCATGTCAAATATTACTTCTTTTTGCTTGAGCTCAAATACTTTTATATTACCCTCACTGCTATCCTCAACTTAATCGCTGGCATTTTCTTGTACTTTTATCCGATCCTATTAGTAAACGCAAGTTTTTAAGAATTTGAATAAAGTTTTTTTTTAGTCATCATTTTTTTAAGATTAATCTATCTGCAAATTTATATCTTTCAAAAGTCCTGGTTATGTTTCTTTCTATTAATTTTGAATTTAAGGTATACCTAAATTATCTATGGGAGTTTTAATTTGAGTTCTTTCTCATTCATCCGATATAACAAAATCATCTTTCTATACTAGATCTGACTCTGTTTCAAATATAGTTTGGGAATGCTCAATCTACTCTTCGTTCTAAGAACTAACAAACAAATTTAACTGCTAGTCCCACACAAGTTATTATGACACAGGAATGAACTACTGCATTTTTTAATTCTAGAATAGTATTTAAGAATCATCTATGTTTTTGTCAAGTATCAGAAGACAATCTGGGAAAAATTCCAGAATCTCCATCAGGTTTTCCTTCTATTTCTTAAGTATATATGCATTGCAAAAATTTAACTTTCGCTGCTTATCTGTGATAATTGAAAGCCAGAGAAAAACAATGTGAAATATTCCAATTAAGAAAATAAAGCTCATCTAGAGGTTTCTTGACTCTTCCTCTGGCTATCGAATTACATATGCAGTCAGGAGATCAAGCTCTTCATGCCTCAAATCACTTGGAATGTTAACTTCCTGGGTGATTGTAGTTTGAAGAGATGGTTTACTAAGTGAATTACCTACCATTAGATTTTTTGTTTTTGGTTTCTAACTATCTAGTTAAAACTGGTCCAAATCTATAGATCCATCAAGATCAAAATTATCTTTGAGACCTTCATGAGCCCATGACTCATTATAACCGATGTACTTTTTATCTTTCTTCTTATTGTTATCATAAGTTACGGTTTTTAGTTAGTTAGTCTGTGTAAACTCAGGTTAAAAATTCTGCTTATTTTTGTTTTATGCAGTGGGAACTTCATTATCCCAACTAGCTTGTAGAGTACTAACAGCTTTGATCTAGGCTTCATTTGTTGTATTGATAGAGGATCTAGTAATGTCATCAGTAGGCTTGGTAATCTTAAGATTATTGGTCTTGCTAATTTACTATGGCATATTTGTAGTTTGCAATGGCGCTAAATATCCCTTTTTAAGAGGTTGCAGAGGCTAGAGTTTTGAATTTTTAGATTATTCAGCTTGAGACAAAATCTGTTCAATCTTCTGCTGACGAAGCTCAGGGATCTTACTTATCATTTATAATTCCTCCTCTTTCACTTTTCTCTGCTTAATATCGTGTTCTTGTTTTGAATCCTTTAAAACTTATTAAAGCATTTTCTCAAATTCAGCATCCTCATTTACGACGTTTCTATCTTGTAAACTTTGACTGATAGCCTGCTCAACAAACAGATTTTCGTCATAAAACATTAAGTCTCTTGATATATTATCCATTGGAATAGGCTGATCTTCAACTTGGGCTCTGCGATTATTACTATTTTAGTTTCTTTAGACTTGATTTCTATTTATAGTATTGTTTTATCCTGGTGGGTTCAGGCTTTCATTGAGTGATCCATCACCAAGCTCCCATAGTTCTTGCTAATGAGTCTTGGCAGGCCCGTTTTTATTTGCTTTTTTATTCTCAGTGCGCTTATCGTTGGTGGTACTTTGGTTCTATTAACTGTTATTGTTTTGATTATTGACCTTGTCCTTTGAGATATCTGATCCATTTGTCTAAAGCTTGCCAATATTATCGTTTTCCCAGCCTTATTTATCTCCAATTGTGAAAGATGCTTATCTTTTGACTGTAGCCACATTTTCTAAGACATCTCTTTAAACTTCCACTGTATGAGAACTGTTAGTGCAACCCATTATTAGATTAGTAATTTACTTTATTAAATTTTCAGATTGTTATAAATAAATCAAGATTATTAAAATTCAATTAATAAGAAGCAAAAAAGTATCATATTCCAGTATTTAATTAGGCTTCAAACATCTAATTCAATGAAAAGATTCATTCATGAGGAGTGTGAATAAGTTTAGGATTCTCTGAGAGAATATTTTCAAGAGAGCCTGCCATTAAATGATTTATCTGAAGTAAGTCTCTATTTTAAACAATGCCCACTCTTTTCTTTGTTCGATCTTTGGTCATATTATCATCAAATAGAGTAAAGTATTCTTTGGTATTTAAAATACTCTTTTTAAGGATGCCTCCTCTGTTAAGAGATGTCTTGCTGCTGTTCTTGTTCATATGACTGGATTTCATGAGTTTAGACTCTAATCTATCCTTGGATCTTAATCGTGATATATGATCTGCTGAGGTAGATTAAAAAGGCTAATTATTGTATCCACTGAAATCAGAGCGAGGGCTTTTGAACTCGTTAGTATTCATCTAGAGTAATAGTTCATTGTTCACTTTCAAATCTTAAATCTACTCTCTTAAATCCTGATTTTCATACACTAATGTTTCAATCACTTCTTTGAGTTGTTTTTCATCGTAGCTTTGAATATTTTAAAGAAGCATAATCTGATTCTTGCTGCTCAATCTCTCAGATTCGTTAGTCAAATAGCAATCTATGTCTAATTTTAATTGGCCAATACCAAGAGATTTCCTAAGATCTATCGATCCATTATTTTTATCCTAAATCTGGATAGAAAATTAATCTATTAGCTAAACAAGATCACAAACCTAGTAGTTTTTATTGAGTATGTATGGATTTATATTTTTACAAAGGATTTATGCTTGATTGATAAATTGTTAAAGTTAATGAGACATTTTTCTATAATGGATAAGTGAATTTGTATCTGAGCTGATGAGTTATGATTGCCTTGCATACTGATAAATCAGCTCTATAATGTGATCTCTTTCTGATATAGTCAATTATCCTAATTCTCTTATTCTATCAACTAGAGGTTTCAGTTAATGGTCTTAGACTATTGATATGCATATAGAATTCCTTTAATCAACAGTGGATTAATCTATACATATTGTATCAGCTTTATCCAAACTATTAATATAAGAGATTGAATTATGAGTATTTTGAGACTGCTTCATATTAATCAAAATTCTATCCTTGTTTTAAATTTATTTTTGAAATGCTTTATTAAGTAGCTTCATTGTACAGTATTTTTTCCTTAAGCTCTCAATTACTGCTTAATACTTTAATTCTAAACTCTCTTTGAATTAATCTAATTCTTTTGAGCATTTATTCGCAATACATATTATTTCTGACTAAGTACATTAATCCTTTTTGATAGTTTGCTTTCCTAACTGCTTAAGCGATCTGATATTCATAAATGATTGATTCCTAGGGCTTAATTTATCACTGTTAAAGTTATTCATCTTTTTGGAATTCTTAGTAGTTAGCTACAGTATTTGCTTTAGTTTTTATTAATGAAACTCTTCATCAAATTCTTCAAGAGATTCTTCCTGTTCTTAATATATATTATTATGCTAATGTTCATCACGTTTAAGGTCTATACTATCTAGAGTATTTAAAAGTAAATTCACATTGTCCTGTGTTAAATCTAGTTACTTTAATTTGGGCATGTTTGACTTTATTAGACTATCCAATTTGAATGAAGCGTTTCTCTCTCCGCTTTAGTACGATTCCTTTAGTTAGACTTCTAACTCATTTAGTTGTTTGAAAAAATCCAAAAACACTAGATGATTTTCGTTTGCATTGTTTATAATCACTTGACACTAGATCTTTAGATTTTATAGAGTCAAATCTCTTTGCTATACTTGAATGCTCTTTTGTTAAATTTCGTTTATATATGAACTTTTTATATCTTTAAGGCATCTTTCCAATTCTTCTTTAGATAGATAATCACCTGAAGTAACTTATGTCAATTGCCTTCTTACTTATATGAGATCTTGCTGAATAATCTCTACATAATTCTATAGTTCCCTTTTTGTATAATTGGCGAAATTACGATCAAACTGAATTATTTTACCTGGCGTCTACTTTACAATTTGATTTCCTTCCTAGTCTAAATTGAATAATCTCAATTTCGTAGAGTTCTACCATTGTTTCAAGGATTGCTCAAGCATATTTTAATGGATAGTTTACTTCATATCCTCCGGCATTAAATCTGGTTCTGCCAAAGACTAATACCTTTTATGATTCCTCTTATTTACTGACTTAGGTTACTAATCGAATAACATAAATGGCTAAGGTTTAAGATATTCCTCAAAATTAGATCCTTTAGTCATATGATTGACAAGCTAGACTTTATTTGAATCAATATTCTCCTATTAGTCGATGTATTTAGATCTCTGTGTTGAATTTATTTCATCTCCACTTTTCAGCTAATTTTACTAAAGTAGTATCTTTTATACTTCAGATTGGATAAACATTTAGAGTTCAAGTTTCTGTTGAGAATAAGAATTCATCTCATTAATCTTAAAAGAATTTGGAGTTTTCAGAGTACTTTTTTTCATTAAATTTGTATCATGATTATGCTAATTCAAATAGAAATGGCTTTAATGACTTGAGCTTTCTTTATCTCTTTCGCTGATTATATTATTTGACTAAGTTCCTCCACCAGATATCTTTTAATTTGAGATTATCATTATGTTTTCATCTCTGCTGCTTCTCATCAATGATTCATGACTTTTATAGTAGTCATCAAGAGTCTGCCTTCTCAATCTTAGGTTATTAGTAGCATTGTTTTAAGACTTGCGATTTACATAGTTTGGTACTTTAAAAATTTGCTGACTTTCTTGGCTTTATAGGATCTATTACCACTGTACTCCTTAATGATTCATTTTATTTTTAATATCTTTGAACGGCTATCTTTGCTGTGAATAAATCAGATCTAGCTTCTCATCCTCATTGATCAAGTTATGCTATTCCATATTAAAGAAGCCCTCATTCTCTTAATCTATTAATGTCAAGTCATTTTCATCTATCAAATTTAATCTCTCATCGTAGCTCTTGATATTTGATTTGGATTAATCAGGTCCAGTTTGAGATTTACTGCTTCGAGCATCGAACACTATAGTTGAGGAAAAGTTCTATCTCATTTGATTAGGTATTGGCTTAATATGGTGGACCATTGGTGTCATTTGGTTTGATGAGAAATTATGTTGAAGCAGTATATTGTTGCTCTGGTTAGTATTTAGTATTTGGTGCTAGATACTTTGAAGCTAATTATTACTGCTGCTGTTGCTATGATAGTTTTAATGATAGTTATTATGGTTGTGATGTTTATTCTCAAATTGAGTTTGCTAAGATAATGTGAGAAATTGATTTTAGTTCTAGGTTAGTTGCTGCTTTATCAACTGATCCTAACTACTTGTCTATATTTGATTATCAATTGATTTGTAGATCAATAAAGATTGCATATTTATGTTATCCTTTGACTCAAGTAAAAAAGTATTGTGTTGACTACTGCCAACAGATTATCTTAAGACTTGATTCTAATTAATTGAATCTCTCTTCCTATGTTTGGTGGTTCTGTTCCCAATGTTATTTTCATCACGAGATTATAAACCTGATGACTTATGAGACGCGAGAGTTCCTGAAAGAGTTGAATTGATCTTAGATCCTCTTTGAGTAACAGGTGCAGTATTCTAGTTGATATTGTTAGCTTGCACCATTGAGTTTGTAGCTGAAATCATTGACGATTTTTTACGAGAGTACATTTTATTTTTTCAAATCTCAAAGAAATTAAATTAAATTCAAAATTTACCAACTGATTTACCTTGAAATTTCCTTCAGGGGTTTTGGGGTTTTGGGG